CTACTACTACTACTACTACTACTACTACTACTACTACTACTACTACTACTACTACTACTACTACTACTACTACTACTACTACTACTACTACTACTACTACTACTACTACTACTACTACTACTACTACTACTACTACTACTACTACTACTACTACTACTACTACTACTACTACTACTACTACTACTACTACTACTACTACTACTACTACTACTACTACTACTACTACTACTACTACTACTACTACTACTACTACTACTACTACTACTACTACTACTACTACTACTACTACTACTACTACTACTACTACTACTACTACTACTACTACTACTACTACTACTACTACTACTACTACTACTACTACTACTACTACTACTACTACTACTACTACTACTACTACTACTACTACTACTACTACTACTACTACTACTACTACTACTACTACTACTACTACTACTACTACTACTACTACTACTACTACTACTACTACTACTACTACTACTACTACCAGCACCACCAGCACCACCAGCACCACCAGCACCACCAGCACCACCAGCACCACCAGCACTACTACTACTACTACTACTACTACTACTACTACTACCACTACCACTACCACTACCACTACCACTACCACTACCACTACCACTACCACTACCACTACCACTACCACTACCACTACCACTACCACTACCACTACCACTACCACTACGACTACTCCTACTCCTACTGCTACTGCTACTGCTACTGCTACTGCTACTGCTACTGCTACTGCTACTGCTACTGCTACTGCTACTGCTACTGCTACTGCTACTGCTACTGCTACTGCTACTGCTACTGCTACTGCTACTGCTACTGCTACTGCTACTGCTACTGCTACTGCTACTGCTACTGCTACTGCTACTGCTACTGCTACTGCTACTGCTACTGCTACTGCTACTGCTACTGCTACTGCTACTGCTACTGCTACTGCTACTGCTACTGCTACTGCTACTGCTACTGCTACTACTACTACTACTACTACTACTACTACTACTACTACTACTACTACTACTACTACTACTACTACTACTACTACTACTACTACTACTACTACTACTACTACTACTACTACTACTACTACTACTACTACTACTACTACTACTACTACTACTACTACTACTACTACTACTACTACTACTACTACTACTACTACTACTACTACTACTACTACTACTACTACTACTACTACTACTACTACTACTACTACTACTACTACTACTACTACTACTACTACTACTACTACTACTACTACTACTACTACTACTACTACTACTACTACTACTACTACTACTACTACTACTACTACTACTACTACTACTACTACTACTACTACTACTACTACTACTACTACTACTACTACTACTACTACTACTACTACTACTACTACTACTACTACTACTACTACTTGGTCCGTTTCATCGCAATTGTCGCTTATCTATCGCAACTAAGAACAGGAGTTTTTTTACCGCTCTGTGAAATTTCCAATACGCACAGTGAAGAAGCATGATACAGGATTCCTGTCCGCCACAAGAAATAAATTCAGCGATGGAATCTGATGAAGCAAGTCGAAGAAAGGAAGCAAGGTTACAAAAAATGTACAGAAGAAAACAGCGACGGAGCGCCTTCTTGCACTCAGGCTTTAGTTTATCCGACTCTGGCTCTGTATCACTCGAGCTGATGCCACTTGAGCTCACATTCACTGGTGTGTATAGCTGCTAGCGTAGAGTACCGTATCTCTTGCTTTCTCCGCTTGGCGTATAGCAGCGACGGGAAAGGAACAGTCGCGGTTGTCACTTTGGCACTTGGAGGAACATGGGCAGCGTGACCCGTCTGTCACTACAGTACTATGTGTTCAACAATGTTTTTGAATCAGGCACACATCCCTCTCCAGACAGCTGTCATACGCTCTGCTGGATACGCTGACCACGACTCTTGTACTGCCGCTGCCAGTTCGGACAATGTCTTCTTTGCCACCATCTCGCCACCAAGGCATCAGTTTGCAGGCTTGCAAAGAATACCAGGTCATTGCAGTTCAAACATTGCAGTTCAAACAACTGAGCTGGCTGGCCTGGCCGTGACTGTCACGCTCTCCAGGTCAGGATGTCGATTTCCCCTGCTACAGTTCCGGTCTTTGAGCTGCGCTTGGCTTTTCGCTGCAGTGAATGCGTGCATTCACTGCAGCGAAAAGTTTCCCACTTTTCCATCAAAATTGTATGAATCGCGATGCCACTGGCGCTAGTCGCGATGGTTTTTTCTTTCTGGTCTCCTCTGATCTTGCCATCACAACCTCCCAAACGAATGTGAGTTAGATATCGAGATCGGACTGGGTTTTACCTGTCAAAAGGTGCGTGGGAGATAAGCGACAATTGCGATGAAACGGACCAAGTACTACTACTACTACTACTACTACTACTACTACTACTACTACTACTACTACTACTACTACTACTACTACTACTACTACTACTACTACTACTACTACTACTACTACTACTACTACTACTACTACTACTACTACTACTACTACTACTACTACTACTACTACTACTACTACTACTACTACTACTACTACTACTACTACTACTACTACTACTACTACTACTACTACTACTACTACTACTACTACTACTACTACTACTACTACTACTACTACTACTACTACTACTACTACTACTACTACTACTACTACTACTACTACTACTACTACTACTACTACTACTACTACTACTACTACTACTACTACTACTACTACTACTACTACTACTACTACTACTACTACTACTACTACTACTACTACTACTACTACTACTACTACTACTACTACTACTACTACTACTACTACTACTACTACTACTACTACTACTAGGCACTTCAGTCACATGACAGGACCTGTCAAAATTTGCTGAGGTGAGAATGCGTACTTGCGTGGCACCAGTCAAGTGCAAGCGCTAAACTGTACAGGTACGCGCTATGCTTCGTTGTACGGGCTGATAGTTGGGCGCATCGTGTTGCTCTGACGTTCAGCTTTCAGTAGATCCCGCATACGTCATAGTGCGTACATTTTTGCGAGTTGTAGATCACGTACACAACCAGCAAAGAGTTTTTTCACAAAGAACTGTTGTTTGCTCGCGTTTGAAACGTTGCTTATCGTCTTCAGCGTCGTCTTTCCATTCGGAAACAGTAGAGTTCTTGTTTACCAGGGTTTGCGCATCGCTGCGCAAGGAGACATTATGTACGTAGGCACTGAGAAGTATGCGCTTTAGGCGGAGGAGAACGACGATGCGTCGTCCTACCTGGGCGAATTCTCAAAGCGTACTGAAAGCCAAGTTTTGACACGGTTGCGCTGGAAGGCCTACTGATGTTTACGAACAATCAAAAGGCACAGTGGCTGCTGGAGAAACCCTCTGATGAGGGGATGCTTTGATATACGCAGCCAGGCACGCTTCACCAAAATTTCAAAGCTCACCAGCAGGCTGCTGCATGGAGCAGTTGAAGGATAGGGAGGCAGATATCACACCATGGAAAGAAGCTACCAACAGAGGTCCTGAAGAACTTCTTGCCAACTTGGAATCACTTGAAGTGGCATGACTGTGAGCACGAATGTCCTGTGCAGTAATTCGCGCGCGCGCGCGCGCGCGCGCGTACATACCCTCCAGGCTCCACGTTGCGGTGTCCGGCGTACAACAAGGAAGTTCTCTGTTGTTTTTGTGCCAGAAGAATGTCTTTATAACTCTTACGCTTTTGTACCCGCAGGAGCCTGCCAGTATGTCGTTATCAGTTCATTTCACAGCAAACTGAAGCTGTTACTATGGGTTACTATGGCGTTGCTATGGGTTGCTATGGAGTTGCTATAGTGATTGCGGTCACAATTGCCGTATTCTTGCCTATTCTGAACTTTGATCTGTATTGTTTCGATCCATACAGGGTTGTCGGTGTAAGTGAGTGATGTGTGCTTGAAAAAAACACTCTGATGTTTTGTGACTATATCCACTGATGATACTTCGGAGATGCTGTTGGTGCCACAAATTGTATTGATTTCGCCTCATCCAACTGCCTATCTTCAACCCTTCATATCTGAGTGGTATCACTGTGGATTTCAATAAAATTTTCTGTGTGACCTTGTGATACCCACCACCATCGATTGCCGATGATAAACCTGGAAAAAACGCGATTTCAAAAAATGGGGTGAAGTGCCTACTACTACTACTACTACTACTACTACTACTACTACTACTACTACTACTACTACTACTACTACTACTACTACTACTACTACTACTACTACTACTACTACTACTACTACTACTACTACTACTACTACTACTACTACTACTACTACTACTACTACTACTACTACTACTACTACTACTACTACTACTACTACTACTACTACTACTACTACTACTACTACTACTACTACTACTACTACTACTACTACTACTACTACTACTACTACTACTACTACTACTACTACTACTACTACTACTACTACTACTACTACTCCTCCTCCTCCTCCTCCTCCTCCTCCTCCTCCTCCTCCTCCTCCTCCTCCTACTACTACTACTACTACTACTACTACTACTACTACTACTACTACTACTACTACTACTACTACTACTACTACTACTACTACTACTACTACTACTACTACTACTACTACTACTACTACTACTACTACTACTACTACTACTACTACTACTACTACTACTACTACTACTACTACTACTACTACTACTACTACTACTACTACTACTACTACTACTACTACTACTACTACTACTACTACTACTACTACTACTACTACTACTACTACTACTACTACTACTACTACTACTACTACTACTACTACTACTACTACTACTACTACTACTACTACTACTACTACTACTACTACTACTACTACTACTACTACTACTACTACTACTACTACTACTACTACTACTACTACTACTACTACTACTACTACTACTACTACTACTACTACTACTACTACTACTACTACTACTACTACTACTACTACTACTACTACTACTACTACTACTACTACTACTACTACTACTACTACTACTACTACTACTACTACTACTACTACTACTACTACTACTACTACTACTACTACTACTACTACTACTACTACTACTACTACTACTACTACTACTACTACTACTACTACTACTACTACTACTACTACTACTACTACTACTACTACTACTACTACTACTACTACTACTACTACTACTACTACTACTACTACTACTACTACTACTACTACTACTACTACTACTACTACTACTACTACTACTACTACTACTACTACTACTACTACTACTACTACTACTACTACTACTACTACTACTACTACTACTACTACTACTACTACTACTACTACTACTACTACTACTACTACTACTACTACTACTACTACTACTACTACTACTACTACTACTACTACTACTACTACTACTACTACTACTACTACTACTACTACTACTACTACTACTACTACTACTACTACTACTACTACTACTACTACTACTACTACTACTACTACTACTACTACTACTACTACTACTACTACTACTACTACTACTACTACTACTACTACTACTACTACTACTACTACTACTTGGTCCGCCCAGCTAAAATTGGCGCTTATCTTCTCACTTGGTTTTTTGGTGTTCTGCCTGTGCCACACGGCATGGAACCACCGATTCACCATCCGAACATGACCATTGACCATTGCATCCGACGACATGGCAGCACAAACCATCACAGAAGTTGCGATCGGTTCGTTTGAGTCTTTTTGACGGAGCTGCCGCCGACGAACACTTCCGTCAGCGCAAGAAAACACTGCAACCTCCGCCCGAGTCCGTAAAATAGGTCAGGATGTTCGCATTTCAGAGCGATGGAGAATACAGTTTCTGTCTACTTCCAGCTGTCTGATGGCAAGGATTGTTTACCCCGGGGAGGTATAGAAAAGCTGAAAAAGCGCTTCGCGAGCTTGAATTTCAGTGCTTGCACATTATAGCGCCTAGTGAAGGGCTATCACCAGCAAATCGCTGACGAAGAAACTGCAGCTCATGTCGATGTCTCCAGTAAGTGAGACCAATCCGGCGGACACACTTTGAAGCTCACAGAGGACAGGGCAAAGGAGCTAATCAAAGGAAACACCAAGTCCTGAGAGAAACACTCGTGCAAAGGACTTTCAGGAAACTAGCCGAAAAGCCTGGTGCACGGCGTTGTAGGTGCAGTACGCACAGGTGCTACATCAAGCGGAAGGTATCACTGCGCTGCATGTAGATCTACAAGCACCAGCGGCTCGCGTGGGTACGGGTGCTGATCAGCAAGTACGACAAGCGCAAGAGGCGATTTGAAAAAAGGACACTGATATGGCGTTGCCCTTTTGTCTCAAACAAAGTCGCATTATTGCGACGAACGGGAGTCAACATGCGGGCAGTCTCACTCAGCTTCTGATGGGTAGGTGACAGGCACGCACTGCCTTTGACTAGTTTGAGCGTGATTCGAGACGAGGAGAAGTGGAACAAGCTATGAAACGACCCGTGCAGCAGCTGTCCGGATCGTACGTTTTGAGCCCTTCCTCCAGCGACGACAGTGGCGAGGAGGATGTGTAACTTGCTTGAATTTTTGACTGAGTTGCTTACTGACATGTAAATAATCATGTATATAGTGCTTTGTGATCGTGGCTTGCTTCAAATATTAGTATTTCTTTCCTGAGACAAGTGTGAAGATAAGCGCCAATTTTAACTGGGCGGACCAAGTACTACTACTACTACTACTACTACTACTACTACTACTACTACTACTACTACTACTACTACTACTACTACTACTACTACTACTACTACTACTACTACTACTACTACTACTACTACTACTACTACTACTACTACTACTACTACTACTACTACTACTACTACTACTACTACTACTACTACTACTACTACTACTACTACTACTACTACTACTACTACTACTACTACTACTACTACTACTACTACTACTACTACTACTACTACTACTACTACTACTACTACTACTACTACTACTACTACTACTACTACTACTACTACTACTACTACTACTACTACTACTACTACTACTACTACTACTACTACTACTACTACTACTACTACTACTACTACTACTACTACTACTACTACTACTACTACTACTACTACTACTACTACTACTACTACTACTACTACTACTACTACTACTACTACTACTACTACTACTACTACTACTACTACTACTACTACTACTACTACTACTACTACTACTACTACTACTACTACTACTACTACTACTACTACTACTACTACTACTACTACTACTACTACTACTACTACTACTACTACTACTACTACTACTACTACTACTACTACTACTACTACTACTACTACTACTACTACTACTACTACTACTACTACTACTACTACTACTACTACTACTACTACTACTACTACTACTACTACTACTACTACTACTACTACTACTACTACTACTACTACTACTACTACTACTACTACTACTACTACTACTACTACTACTACTACTACTACTACTACTACTACTACTACTACTACTACTACTACTACTACTACTACTACTACTACCAGCACCACCAGCACCACCAGCACCACCAGCACCACCAGCACCACCAGCACCACCAGCACCACCAGCACTACTACTACTACTACTACTACTACTACTACTACTACTACTACTACTACTACCACTACCACTACCACTACCACTACCACTACCACTACCACTACCACTACCACTACCACTACCACTACCACTACCACTACCACTACCACTACCACTACCACTACCACTACCACTACCACTACCACTACCACTACCACTACGACTACTCCTACTCCTACTGCTACTGCTACTGCTACTGCTACTGCTACTGCTACTGCTACTGCTACTGCTACTGCTACTGCTACTGCTACTGCTACTGCTACTGCTACTGCTACTGCTACTGCTACTGCTACTGCTACTGCTACTGCTACTGCTACTGCTACTGCTACTGCTACTGCTACTGCTACTGCTACTGCTACTGCTACTGCTACTGCTACTGCTACTGCTACTGCTACTGCTACTGCTACTGCTACTGCTACTGCTACTGCTACTGCTACTGCTACTGCTACTGCTACTGCTACTGCTACTGCTACTGCTACTGCTACTACTACTACTACTACTACTACTACTACTACTACTACTACTACTACTACTACTACTACTACTACTACTACTACTACTACTACTACTACTACTACTACTACTACTACTACTACTACTACTACTACTACTACTACTACTACTACTACTACTACTACTACTACTACTACTACTACTACTACTACTACTACTACTACTACTACTACTACTACTACTACTACTACTACTACTACTACTACTACTACTACTACTACTACTACTACTACTACTACTACTACTACTACTACTACTACTACTACTACTACTACTACTACTACTACTACTACTACTACTACTACTACTACTACTACTACTACTACTACTACTACTACTACTACTACTACTACTACTACTACTACTACTACTACTACTACTACTACTACTACTACTACTACTACTACTACTACTACTACTACTACTACTACTACTACTACTACTACTACTACTACTACTACTACTACTACTACTACTACTACTACTACTACTACTACTACTACTACTACTACTACTACTACTACTACTACTACTACTACTACTACTACTACTACTACTACTACTACTACTACTACTACTACTACTACTACTACTACTACTACTACTACTACTACTACTACCAGCACCACCAGCACCACCAGCACCACCAGCACTACCAGCACCACCAGCACCACCAGCACCACCAGCACCACCAGCACCACCAGCACCACCAGCACCACCAGCACCACCAGCACCACCAGCACCACCAGCACAACTACTACTACTACTACTACTACTACTACTACTACTACTACTACCACTACCACTACCACTACCACTACCACTACCACTACCACTACCACTACCACTACCACTACCACTACCACTACCACTACCACTACCACTACCACTACCACTACCACTACCACTACCACTACCACTACCACTACCACTACCACTACCACTACCACTACCACTACCACTACCACTACCACTACCACTACCACTACCACTACCACTACCACTACCACTACCACTACCACTACCACTACCACTACCACTACCACTACCACTACCACTACCACTACCACTACCACTACCACTACCACTACCACTACCACTACCACTACCACTACCACTACCACTACCACTACCACTACCACTACCACTACTACTACTACTACTACTACTACTACTACTACTACTACTACTACTACTACTACTACTACTACTACTACTACTACTACTACTACTACTACTACTACTACTACTACTACTACTACTACTACTACTACTACTACTACTACTACTACTACTACTACTACTACTACTACTACTACTACTACTACTACTACTACTACTACTACTACTACTACTACTACTACTACTACTACTACTACTACTACTACTACTACTACTACTACTACTACTACTACTACTACTACTACTACTACTACTTCGTACTATCTCAATAAAACCTACGTGAAAAGTAATGATACTCCAGTTTATTTTATATTTCTATTTCACTCAACTCGTGGTCCATTAACAATTGGCATGCAAATTGCGAGAGATGGGTGATAGCCAACAACGGCAAGAAAAGAAAAGAATTGTTTAGGATGCACTGCACCAAGATCTTGTAAAACTGAGAAAAGTGACTCAGTTAACCTCAAAAGGTTTTTTATTATTGCCTTTTCCAGCTACCTTCATCTTTTCATCGGTTTGCTCTCCTGTTGAGCGAGACTGAAGAGATCGACCAGGCGAACCTTTCTGCTTTCCGCATTCCATGTAATCTAATGAGGGTGAAACACGTTATAAAAAAGTGACTTACAGACTTTCAACGGACGTGCTTTGCTGAAACACTGAGGCAGACAGATTTGTCAAACCCATTTGGCTCAGATCTCTGAATAGAATAAAGCAAGGCGGAAAGTGATAGATATTTAGAAAAGCGAACCTGTCATCTTTTCTATTATTTTGGTCACAATGTAAGACCTAAAGACGCCAATATATGACACGTCAAAGTAAGTTTCTAAGTAAGGTGCGTGGCACCTGGACCAGGGCGTACTGTTTTACTACTCCATGGCTCGTACCATCGTGTGGCCGACTCGTGCGCGTGCATGGCAGACACTTTGTTCCAGTCCGTTTTCGGATGTGCATGAAGGAGGAACTTGCCTTATTTGGAACTGATCCTTGCAAGAACTGTTTCGGATATCTCGTCTCCTGGATTATTTTGCTTCTGCGCTGCTGAGACCTACTTTCACGGAATATTACTCAATGACAGGTGAGTTGGCCAGTTCCCTTTGTCTTTGCTGCATTCGCCTGTGTTGACTCTTTTATTTACGAAAAGTGTGCTGATTTTAGGTGGAATATCAATACGAGAATAAATAATGGAAAAGCTGTTCTCTTTTCTAAATTTAGCTTTTCCGCTGTAGAGACCTCCTTTCATGGACTATATTCAAAGACAGGTGGGCTCAGAGTTGACCAGTTTCCTTCGATTCATTTGCTTCAGCTCACCCCTTCATTTTCGGAAAGGTGTGTTGATTTGAATCGGATTTAGATCCATTCGTATCTCTTTTCCTTTGCCCACAGTGTCTGAAGAACGCGAGTTCACCTTCTTGACGGTAAGGATTATGTTGCTGCTGAGGCGTAGATGTGTTGTCGAAATACTTATGTTCAGTGATCTTGACGCATTCGTTATCGTATATTCGCACGTCAACATTGCTAAAATATTGGATTTCTGTGGATATGCATCAGTGTCATGGTACATTGATATGTGACTGGTATCGCTTTCAGAATGCCGTGCCCCGATTATAGAGTAGAATCTGAATTTTGCAGAGGCATAATGTTGTTGGTAGTTTCAATTCGGGAGGGAAAGGTTCAAGGAAGCATTGAACGATTAACGTTATGTAAAAAAAACCGCATATCAGGGAAAATCTCCTTTATAAAGAGGTTCAGTGACTAGCTTGCTTCATACGAACAAACCAATGGGTCCAGTCTAGTCAGAATCTCATATGATTGGATTTGTTTACTCGAGTTTGGGCTGTTTGATTCGTGAGTAGCACCGAAATTGCACTGCCCCAAATAAAGTTGCATGCCGGCAAAGCAAGAATTAGGACCTACAATCTGTTTGTAGTACCTGTAAGAATGTGCTGTACATGTACCGTGTTTTCTCTGTTTTTTACTCATGTTGCTATAGAAAGGTTCAGTGGCTCATTTCATACAAGGCAAATCAATGGGTCGGTCTGGGTTAGAATCTTGCACTGTCACTGAGAAGAAATCAATTTGTATCCCTATTGGAGAAGTAACTGTATGCACTCGTTATAAGATATGATTAACAGGGGTGTTACAGACGGTACGACCACTACGACCATGGTCGTACCACTTTTCGTCCCGGATGGTCCACCCAATTCATCCGAAAAAGCAATAAAAAAAATTCAAGGATCTTCGGACTCGTACACAGCTTTCATTCAAAGGAACATATTTGGTTCAGACTTGATGCCTAGCAGCTAGCCCATTACTCCAGACGGCTATCTATTGCGACAGGCGGTTGGAGTTACGAGTAGAGACAACCAGACAATGGACTCCTCACGGACGCATTCACTGCAAACTTGACAGAAACGGCGCTAGCGGCGGTCACTGCGTCCCGAACAAAAAATTTCCAAGATCTACCATGTTACAATGGCGCCGGATGATCAGCATGGTCGAGAGATACTACAGGTATGTCACTTGTCAGCTTCAACATAGATATCATATTATTATTTCCACAACGACACCTACCTAGTACCTCTGTCTCCTGACGACCTACCGCAAGCTGATGCGAAAATGCATTACAGTTTACAACCGCGAACGCCGCGCTTTTCAACGGAATAGGGAAGCGCTTCATTCTTCGAAGTTGAAAAGTGTTTGGACTGCTGATCCACGGCGGCAGAACCGTATGATTCTGCAGCTGTTCACTGACACGACCCGCTTCATCAACTGACTTACGATTGTTTCGTTCTCCATGCTTACTGCAGCAAAAAGAATTGCGGCCGCAACGACAGACCGAAAGTCTCTCACAAACTGAAGTCCTGTTGCCACGAAGACAGAAGATTCCGCAAGCTCTTTCTTCTGCTTCCAGTGTTGGAACTTTCCGGTCTAGTCCACTGGCAGATCTTTCAATCCCACCAAACAAAAAGAGGATCTTCTTCTCTCTCTAAAAACAACTAACATAGTCATTACTTCGCAAGTGTCCGGGCCAGTCGTGTACATAGTGTATTTAGCACATGCGGGGCACTTTCGCAGGGCATGACATACCGCGCTATACCGGTACATTTTTGCACAGCGGCTGGCGCTAGAACGCGCAGCATGCTGAATGCCATGATATACCATATACCATGATATACGACTCCCTGCTTGTAGATCTCCTGAGCACTCAAAATAAGCTACAGACCACGGCTGTTCACGTGCAGGCACTTATCAATATGGCGTCGTTCGGTGCGATTTATGTACTTCCTCCGCGTCATCGAAATTGTCGCAGTTTGACTAGTGACTTGCCACTTGTTACTGACAACTCCATAAGCTAAACCATTCAAAACTTTTTACACAGTATGATAGTCTGAAGACTAGAGTAACGTTCCAGGACAGTTGGGCTGAGAGTTTTCATGCAGAGATGAAGTCCTCGTCGTCGCTGATGTCAATGGACGCAAAAATATCGTTCCGAAATATTTCAAGGAAGGTTGAAAGTTGGTCGCGCCTCATCTGAGACGCTTTGACTTTCTCCACAGGACAAGAGCTGCTATGCTTGTCGTCTGCTAGCTCTGGATGATTTCTACTTCACCCCCAACGAAGCCTAGTAAGAATAAACGATCGTTGCGAGGTCGGTTTATTACCGTCGGCGGAACCACCTCGATCTTGAAATGAACTTTTTTTAGCCGTGGCATGCCCATTTATTTTACCTGTGTGGTCACAGCTCATGCACGTAAGTGTACTATCATCCAGCGCGCCCTCTTTTTCAGCATCACTGGTACGGCACCTGCGCATGCATCACTAGCACTTCGTGTAGAGTCTACACCGTAGAACACGGCTCTTGCAGGTAAAATCATGTACTGAGTGTCTCAGCCAGAGCAACAAATTTTATCGCCGTTGCATGCATTTAGTTTGCTGACCCCTCGATGTTTCTCCGAGCCCTGCTACTTGTTCCACGAAGTCATTCTCACCCCAGCTAAGGTAAAACAGTGATGAGGCTCGAGTGAATGGCCATAAGCACGAGAAATGTGCAGCCTGCAACGCCTGACTGATCTCAGGGAGTTGAAATTACCATCGCAGCGACAGCAGCGAAGAAATTGCGTCTAGTTCAAAAATTTCAGATTCCAAGAACAGAAAATAGAACTTTGCCGTCACCCTATGCTGATGACTATCGCCTATGTCCGATTCCTTCCCTCTGATACGAGTGCTGGTGAGTAAATACCCCGTTTTATGTCAAAAGTCAAACTGCGACAATTTCGATGACGCGGAGGAAGTAACATTGTGCGAATAGTACAAATACGCGATGAGTTTGCGTTTTTGCAAGAAACTCATGTCGATCCTCGCGTGGTTCCACGATTTGGGACTCGAAGCCAAGAGAAAAGTTTTGAAAGCGCTCGAGCGAGATACTCGACTTTTCGGCAATTTGAGAGAGAAAGAGGGTGGCCTGCTGTCTTTCCACTTCAAACTTGCTCGAAGTACTCCTGGCAGTCTGGAGATTGATCTCGCCAGTGATTGTCAGCCTCTGCTTGGCGTGCTCGCGTGTACAACATTCAAGTTAGACATTTCGTAATCGTTCAACGCACAATAGGGTAGATATCACAATTTCAAGCTCACTTGGTCGGCTGCTGTCTTCTTCTACAATATCCCACATGCCGACTAAGCAATTTACAGCAGGAACCAGCCTTCTACACTCAACAGCAACTAAAGGGCCACACCATTTTGTCTTCCAAATCAAGAGAAAACAGGCTCCTGACTCGTCGCGCGTATTTAGAAGTTCACGCGCGTATTCTAATGACACTTGGGGAAGACAACGAGAGGATAGTCCTCTACCTAGGAAAAAATCGATCTAAGCTGGGAAAAAACCGGGAAGGGCTTCTTGGAGTCGAGTTTGTCAGCGACGACACAAGGAGTATTCCAAAACGAAGCCAAAGTCACACGACACAGAACAAATGTTTCTTGAAGGAAAGGCAGTCATGTGAGGTACGAGCGGAAAGCTTGAAACGAGACTCAGATGATCAGCGTGTTCCCCAGGCTGTCCGGGCTGACTAGTCTCCAAAATCCAGGGGAAACCATGGGCTACTCGTGTTCTGACGATTTAAAAATTCAAATTTTCTTGCCATTGAAGCCCAATCGAGACTTTCGGCGGCCATATTGTTAAGTGGCGTGAAATCGCACAAAAGAACAGCCGCGAGACGTACAGTAGGCATCAG